ATGGATTTATTTAAATAATTGAAAGATCATATAAAAATTGGGAATTTAAAGCTGGAAGATACTCTGTCATTTTATATTTATTGCACCATATATGACTTCTTACTTAGTAATTATCTATGAAAATACCATCAAATGTAGCAATGATTATTTGAAAAAATGTATTACTAAAATCATTAAAATGCATTTTAATGCTATACGAAAGAATGTGAAAAAAGGAAGAAGTGTATTATTGCTCAGTTCTAATAAGGTTGATAAGATTTTTATAAATTATTTTGTATATCTACTACATAATTATTATATAAATAATACAGATTATAGATTTAGGAAGAGAATTGCTTATTCCATATTAATAGTGTAAAAGTTATCCAATAATAAATTTAGAAAACTTTCAAATTAAGACCTGAATATGGGTAAAACAAATTTGGAATATAGTTAGGAATAATGGTACTTCTGATAATAAAAAGTATTAGGTGTTATTCTTCAGAAAATAAAAAATTCTTATATTTGTCAATAATATAATTTACATAATGCTAAAACAATTACTATAATAAACAAAAGATATACAGTAGCTTCCAAAAGTAACTAACCATATATTATTTAAATTATTGATTATTTGTATTTTAACCAATTTAAATCCAATTAAAATAAAATTTAAAATATAATATGATCTATTAAAAAATATAAATTTTAATATAAATTTATTAATTAGTTTTTTTAATTATATAATATTAAAGCAAAGAAATCTAGTCAGTTTCTTTTGTCATTTTTAATATTTTTAAAAAATCAAAAATTTTTATAAAATTATATTATAAAAAAAAATTTAAAATTAATAATTAAATAACTTAAATTATAAATTAAAACTAAAAAAATTCAATATTCTTTAGTAATAAATTAATTTATTTATTTAATGAATATATTTAAAATTATTATATAATATATAGATTTTACAATTTTTGTATAGTATTTTTTTTAAATAATATTACATCAAATAATTTTATAATAAAATAATGCTAAAATTTAAATTCTTCTAGTTAAAAGGAATTTTCTGAAAAAAAAATTAAAAAGCCAACAGACTCCTAATTATTAAAAAATTACTTGTTAAAAATAGATAATGATCTTTATTTTGCATATAGAAATAATTTTCATCATATGTAAAATGAAGATCATTACTTATTAACAGTATTATTATAAGAACAGAACATATCTATGGATGGAATGGAACAGTCCAGGATATATCCAAAGATTTTAGCAATGTCCAGAACATTGGGACATTAAAACGACGTAATCTTAAATATAAATTATAGTCCATTAGGTATTGTCTTGATAAGATAAATTGTAAACTTGAACAATTTTGGATGGAATGTGAATGGAACATGGACGGGATAATGTCTGAAATATTAAAATTTGGCAAAACATGTCTTATCATTCTTATGTATAACACTGTTAATAACTAAGTGCTTGTTTAATTTTTTTTTGCAAATTCTTTTTAACTAAAAGAATTTAAATTTTAGCATTATTTTATTGTAAAAACCTTTAAATTAATGATGTTTAAAAAAAACTTTATACTAAAAATTGTAAAATTTATATTTTATTATAATTTTATTATAATTTTAGTAAAATTTTAATAGTTTTAGTATTTATAATAAATTTTACTTTTTTAAAGTTTTATTAACTTTTTAATAATAGTTTTCACTATTTTAGCATTTTGCTAATTTGCCAAAACTCTCTAGTTTTCCAGCAATTTACATATAATTAAAGTATTATTAAGTAATAGTATTTATTTTTTACTATATAGCATATGTATTATATATATAATTAACATTTTATGCAAGTTTTTTTTTTAAAAAATAAGCAATATATATATATCAGTCAGCGGTCATATCATATTTTTTAGGGGTGTCTTATAATTACTAATAAATAGTAATTTTTATATTTATATTAATATAAATTTTCTTAAGTTATATATTATAAAAACTTTATATATTTTTATTCTTTAGGGACTTTTTTACTTATTTAAACACCTTTTTTTTTTAATACAATACCTATATAAAAAATTTATATTGAGCTTACTTTTATAGTTTCAACCTCCAGATGCAACTTATTGGTAAAAGGTAAATATTACTTTTAAATATATAAATATATGTAATTTTTTATGAGGAATCAGTTTACTTAATAAATAAAAAGTAATTTTCTTAATAAAATTTATGGTAAATTTAAATTTACAATTTTAGTAAAAATTAGCCAATATTAAACTTATAAAATTTATATAAATATTTGCTAATTTTTTTGTATAAATACAATTTTAATTGCAAATTACATGTTTTAATAAAATAATATTTTAAATATTTACAATATTTAACAAATTTTATAATTTGACTAATTTTTAAAAGTTGTTTATAGTAAAAATATTTCAATAATTATTTAATTTTAATAAAATTTAAAGTATAATCATTTTAATTGATTATAAAACAGTATGTAAAATTTGAGAATATGTTATTTATAGAATTATTGAATAAATATACTGTTACACAAAATGCAGATCATTTAGTTGATATGTAAAATACTAATTGATATTTTGAAATATTTTACATAATAATATATACTAAAATTTTACAGGCTATTTTATATCCTTTAAAAGTAATTATATATCAAATTATATTAAAATTGAATAGTTATTGAAATACTTTTACTATTAACAACTTTTAAAAATTAGTCAAATTATAAAATTTGTTAAATATTGTAGATATTTAAAATATTATTTTATTATAACATGTAATTTGCAATTAAAATTGTATTTATACAAANTTATACACATCTAGATGTGTATAAGAGATAAGTTTAATATTGGCTAATTTTTGCTAAAATTGTAAATTTAGATTTACCATAAATTTTATTAAGAAACTTGCTTTTTATTTATTAAGTAAACTGATTCATAATAAAAAAATACATATATTTATATATTTAAAAGTAATACTTACCTTTTACCAATAAGTTGCATCTGGAGGTTGAAACTATAAAAGTTAGCTCAACATAAATTTTTTATAAAAGTATTATATTTAAAAAAAAGGTATTTAAATAAGTAAAATAGTTCAAAAAGAACAAAAATATATAAAGTTTTTATAATATATAACTTAAGAAAATTTATGTTAATATAAATACAAAAAATTACTATTTATTAGTAATTATAAGAGAAATGAAATGACCACTGACTGATATATAATTTGAAATATTCTTAAAATCAGTAGTATACTAATAAGTTTAATAGTAAAATTAATAAAAGATACTATTAAAACTTCAAAGATAATTAATAAAATATTTTTGTATATTTGAAAAAAAAAAGTTTCAGTTAAAAAAAAAAAAATTTTTTTTTTTTTACATATTTATACAAAAATTATGAAATAAAGTATAAAATTAAAGTGAAGGGTTACCAGAAGTGAAAAAAATAAATTTTAATTGTAATATTTTTAATAAAATTCTATAAATAGTATGCAAAATTAAGCAAACTAAAAATTCTTAGTATTTTAAAATAATGCCAAAAAACATGTAAATTAATCATTTTACATAGTATAAAAATTTTCTTAAATTAAGCATTATAAAATTCTTACATTATAAAAATTTTTCTATGTTGGTTATTAAATTAGTCTATTTTTATCAAAATTGGACCACTAAATGCTAAAATATTTGCAAAAAACAATTTTTTAAATTTAATAAAATGGTTGATTTTTGGCCAAAAGTTCATTATAACCATGGGTCCTATAACGTATATAATTATTATATCAGATATATAACTTATTTTATTATTATTAATTTTACTAGCTGCTTTTAAATGTGATATTACGTAAAAAATACTATCTATAGTACTATCTATGGACTATAGAAATGCACTTTACTAAATAAAAGTACATATTGTTCATTGTCACGCCACCGTCTAAATAGAAAAAGAGCCACATACAAGCAAATTTTTTTTACAATTATGATATTACGAATACAATGAATCACTGCTTTTGATTCGGGGACTGGAATAACCGAATCACATGAAAATTCACGTTTGAAATCAGCTGCTTTGAAATGTGATATTACGTAAAAGAATACTATGTATGGAAATGCAATGACTTCACGTATGAAAGGAATGAAGCCACAGTTGATAAATGATCTTTACTAAATAAAAATACATATTGTAAAAGTTAGTCATTGTTCTTGCCACCGTCTAAATAGAAAAGGAGCCACATACAAAGATAAGAAATTTCTTTGTTAATAATGATGATGATCTTAGAACATCCATTTTCTGTTCCAAAGAAAAACTTATTAAATTAGTAAAATTTAGTGGCATCCCATTTACGTCATTAAGATGATATTTTTTTCTTTCACGATGGTGTAGTGACTTTTTCGTGACGCTAACGCTAAAGTTTTAATTTTTTTTTTTTTGGCGGGAAAGCAAAAATAGCGAAACGTGATGTCAGCAATTTTCTTTTTTTGGGGGGAAGGGGAACTTTATTCATCCGCACAGACCAATAACTTTTTGAATTTTTGCAGGAACTTTTTATTTTCATTATATTACACGATTTTTTTTTAATATTATTTTTTCACAGAACAATAACTTTTTGAATTTTTGCAGGCAGAAATAAAACTTTTTATTTTCATTATATTACATGATTTTTTTTTAATATTTCATCCCCTTTGAAAATTTTTATTTTTTTTTAAAAAAAATAAAGAGAAGAATAAAAAATGTCTTAAATAGTTCTAAAAAAATAGATATAATTTTATCTCATGGTTTGACTTTTAAAAGAATATAAAGAATATGAATAAATAAATTATTTACAATATGGTTTGGAAATAATTAATTAATGTTTTAAAATTGTTCGTAGAAAAAAAAAATGTAAAATGTAAAATGATGCACTATGATACATAAAGGAAAAAAAAAAAAGAAGAAAAAAAAAGAGGAAAATAATAATAATAATAATAAAAATGCTACAGAAATGCAAATAATGCGAGAGAGAGAGAGAGAGAGAAAAAAAAAAATTATTATGCAAAAAAATTTATAAACTTACAAATGAAAAAAAAAATAATTAATTAAAATAAATAATAATATAAAGTATTATATGGTATTTCTATGTTTTCTAACTTTAACCATAGCTTTTAAATATCTTCTAGCAATTTGTAAATTCATTCCAGGAGATTTATTTAAATGATGTTTACGAGGAGGTTGAGAAAGTGAAGGTCTTTCATCAAATAAATTTAAATTTATCTCTTTTAATTGTGGTTTAACTTTTTGTTTTTGAGTTGATTTAGATCGGATTACTTCATCTTCATCATCATCATGATCTTGTACTCTTCTTTTACTTTTTAATACACGATTTGCAGCGGTTGAATTCATTAATTTCATTGTTGTCGTGCGTTTTGGTTTTTCTGGAGCAGGAGATGAATGACGTTTACTTGGATAATAATCCAATGATTTCCAATCACCAGTACGACTTCCCCCAAGAGATGATGGGACAGAAGGTCGATGTCGTTGGTCCAAAGACAATTGGTCCTTTTCTATATTATTATAAGAAAGAAAAATTTATTAGTAAATGTAAAAAGAAAAAAATTTTAAATTATGAGAAGAGTTGAATAGTTTAAACTTACCAGCTTTTCTTAAAGAGAGTTCAGCAAATATTGAAAGAGCAGGAGAAGCTTCGGTATTTTTATTAGCAGTATTAGTAGGAGTTGAAGTACTTTTTCGAACAGCTTCAGATTTCTTTAAAATTTCAGGAGAAACAACAGGAGTATTTTTTTGAGTAGAAACGACATCTTTCTTTACTTGAGGGAGTACTTTTTTAGAAGCGGTTGACAAGATTGTTTTAATAGGACCTTTTTCAGAAGAAACCTTTTCTTCTTCAATAGCGAAATCAATATATTTAATATAATTCATGGCCAAGAATTCAACCAAGACCAAACAAGATTTAGTAATGCTAGTGCTTCTTTCAGCGGCAATCATTATGAATTGTTTTGTGAATGTTGAAATATAGTCACTTAAGATGAAAATTATTATTTTTATAGCTATGAGAGCGTTATGTAAAACTAATAATGAAAGAAATATGCAAAATGATACGTGATAAACTACACTACACAAAAGGTTTATTTCGTCGTTTTTTTTTAATGCAAGAGACATAACTTGTGAAATTAAATTGTCCTTTTTTTTTTTTTTTTTTTTATTAAAGAATAAAAATCCACAAGGCTTTGTATTTATAAACAAGTCATAACCATCCTTTAATAAATCAATGACTGAAGATGCAAAAAAATTTTTTTTTTTTTTCAAACCGATGATGTTTCATAGAAAATTTGAACAATAGGAATTAATGGAATTAACGTGACTTAAAAAAGGAACTTTGTACGTACATTGCCAAGATGAATGATATCATTTTATACTTTAAATAATAAAAAGTTAAAAAGTAATGTTATTTGAAACTTTAAGGAAAATGATGAAAAAGGTTGAAAAAAGTGTGGCTGCATTTATTTTATATTATTGTTTAGTTCAGTTGTTTTATTAATAGTAATTGGTAGTAGAGATCACCTTACCTTGCATTGTTACCTACTAATGAAACTTTTTTATTTTTACCGGAAAAACAATCCTATAAATTATCTTTTTGTAATCATATGATTTTCAGAAATATTATTTAATAAATTATCCGTACAATAATACCAATAATGCTAATATTAGGGAAATTCCTTCTCTTTATTTGATCTTTAGTAACTCAATTGAATTAATTATTAATAAAGACAAGGAAATTCATAAAGATTTTTCCAATTCTTCAAACACTTTCTTTTTTTACAAGGTTTTAAGAGTTGTGTATGTGAAAAAAAAATTGATTAATGCATGAATTCTAATATCAATATATCAAATTTTTTTTTTTTTTTTTTTATGCAGCTTCTAAATTGAATTTTTCAACATATTATACATAATATGTATATATTTAAATTACGTGTGCCATTATACAATGTTTGGTAATTTGAATGTTATTATAAAAAAAAAAAATGACTCATTCGCTTTAACCCCCTTGAGTATGAGATCTTTGGGTCATTGCATAAGAAATTCTTTTGTAACAAAATGTTCAGCTGAAAAAGAAGAAATTTTTTTTCTTTTTTTCTATACGAGTCAATTAATAATTGGATGGGTATTGGCGTCTTTGCATATTTAATAATGTCGTATGTATGTATATTTATTTTTGATTTTATCAAAAAAAAAATGAATATTTATTAAATGAGTATTTTTTTAATAAGATTATTTTAATCTTTTAACATAATTTTTTCCCATGCTACTTAATAAAAATATTTAATGCCGGTTTGTTTAAATTTTGGCGGGAAAAACTATATATATATATAATTTTAAAAAACTTTAAATACGTTGTATACTTTATCATCACTTATAATACTTATAATAAAAATTTTTGGCGGGAAGAAAACTATTTACTAACCAAACTTAAAGTAATCTAAAAATCTCGTGGGATGATCAAACTTCATTTTTTTACCAAAAAATCACAAATAAGCCAAACAAAAAAATCCACAAGAAACATCCACGCATTCTATGATAAACAACATCCTAAAACAATATATAAAATAATAATCATTTTAAACCTAGTTTTTTTAGCCACTTTTTTTAAAAAAACAATAATGACAATTATAATTATTTAGTACTACATACTATAATTACTGTATGTACAGTATTCCCCCAATCCTAATCTTTATATAAACCTTCCTATTACAGTTTAAATCTTTTGTGATAGGTATTACCACAACTTTTACTTTGTAATGATTGATTTCTATTAATCATTATTAACATTGTTCTAATTTTGACCTTTAACTTACGAAATTATTTTATAAATGTGTCGTAGAATTCTTTTCTTATTTATTCCGCAGCAATTTATTATAATCCCTTATTAAAAGTTTTGTATTACAAACATGTTTATTTTTATAAATGTATTTCTTTATATAGGATTTACATTGTTAAACCTACATTGTTATAATATTCTCATTTTTTCATTTTTTTTTTTTTTTAAAGATACAAATATTTGATCACGTCGCTTTTTTGGCTTACAAGAGATATTATATAAACCGGAACTGCGAAAGGTGAATGAATATAATTATGGTTATTCATATGTCTTTTAAAAAAAAAATAATAATAATTAAGCCACTTATCGTTACTAATGTTTATTATTATTTATTTATTTATTTATTTTTTTTTTCATTTAAACATTTTAAAATGATTTTATGTTTATTGATGATTATCTAAAAAAGTGGATCCTGGAAATATTATTTGATTTTATTGGTTTGGTGGATTTTTTTTTGATTTTTGTTTGTATGTACGATGTAAATCTTTTACAAGTAAAAGATTCAAAAACACGTTTTCCAACACGATTTTTTTTTTTTTATACAAACACAAAATTGAACTAAATCAAGTAAAGTCTCAGTTTGAAAAAAAAATTGCTTTCTTGAATGAATCTTTTTTAAAAAAATTAATTAATGTATGTATGTATGGTATGTATGGTATGTATGGTATGTATGTTAAAAGCAAGAAAGAACCAATGAAGTAAATGAATATTTTTCGAGTTTAATTAAAAAAAAAAAAAATAACAATAACGATCAGGTTTTTCATCAAGAAAAAAAAATTTATTTTTTTTTTCGGTATAATGTGTCAAAAAAAACTTAATTGAAATGAGAGAAAAAAAAATAGATTTTGTTCTCAAGATCAAACAAGTATGCGTACGTACTGTATTAAATGATTTGCCATCAAGCAAAACAGCAATCCGTACCTAGATAGGATTGCGGCTCATCTCCGAACCTGTATACCAGGACTTAAATTGGAAACCTACTAGGAAAAATTTTACCACGTTACGATTATGTCAAAAAGTTATAATATTTATCAATAATACATTATCGGGTATAAGGCATTACGTACATACTGTGTCATAACTAATAAAGCAAGTTGTACGATGCGTTAACGTATCGTGTGATACCCCTGCTTTAGCCCATCATAAAAAAAAATAAAATATTTTATTTATAGTAGTATTTTAAAAAAAAAATTATTTTTTAATCAAACCAATTAAATATTAATTTAGTTATCAGCTTGCGTCTCATCTGATATAGTGCATTGTTGGGTTATCTTTTTTACAGTATTTGAAATTTCCAAATAATTAATTTTCCAAACTAATTTTTTTAGGATAGAATTATGGAATCTATATATACTAATGAATCTTACTTTAATAAGTACATGGGATCTCAGATAAACTGATAAAAGTTAATAATGATACTTAATAGAGTTATTATTAGAATCCAATTTATTTTTAATTTTTAAACACAATATTTTAAATAATATTCAAGAAAATCTCTTTTTCCTTTTTTTTTTCAATCTTACATGTTTTTCAAATTTCAAATTTTAACTTTTTAATATTGAAAATTCAAATGTTTTACTTCATTTCAAATTTAAAGAAACTTGGTATTTTTACTATTTTAGCAAATCTATATAATAAAATACAATAAAATTACTTTTATTACTAAAGCTTAATTTTGTATTAGTATTGTAATCTATAATGATTTATTTTTCAAAATCTGTAAAGTAATAATAATATAAATTAAATTCAATTTTTTAATTAATTAAATTATTGGATTTTTATAATAAATAATTTAATTTTCTAAAATATCAATTTTTTTTCTTAAAATTTATTTTATTCCAGTTTTTTATAATAAAAGTATTATTAATAATAATATAAGATTTATTAAGTAATATATATATATTTTTTTTTTGAATAAATATATTAGTTATACATTATTTGTATTATACAAATTATATAACTTTTATAAAATTTATAAAGTATAAATTAAAAATATAAAATTTCTACTAATTTTAATTAAAACTTAAAAAATATTTGAATTTATTAATAATATAATCTTTTTTTAAATCTTTATAATTATTAATAAATCTATTTTATTTTTTTTATTTCTTAAACAAATTTTTTTTCATAATAGTTTAAATCATAAATTATATAGTAAAAATTATTATTTGTTAATTATATATTTAGAAAATTGTACTCTTGGAATATATGGCACTTTACAGTAGAAAGGGATGAAACTACTAAAAAAAATAAAAAATGAGTTAATATAAAATCTGAATAAATTATAGCATTTAGAATATTTTTAGCATATAAAAGAATTTTTTCAGTAGTTTTGTCCTTTTTTACTGCAAAACACCTTTATTTAACTATTTATATATTATAAAAAGTAGAAGTTACTTTTATTTGTAAACAATTTATTAGCTGTATTAATAAAGAATACCTGTTCCTTTTGAAGGTAATTTTTTTTTTTAAAAAAAAAAACATTAGAAGTTAAAGGTTGTATAAAAATGCAAACCATTTATATAAAATTCAATCATTAATTCATGGTACCTTATAGAAGTAATTAAAATTATTTTTCTAAGTAAATAAGTAAAAGTATATATCAAATATTATTTGGCTTACAACTAGTATTTTACAAGTTGATTAAATTTTATTAAATTTTATAATAAAATATATACAATTGATTTATTGAAGAATTAGAAGAATTATTACAAAATTAACCATTAACCAATAATATTAATATAGCATTAAGATATTTTAAAATTATATATTAATACTTAAATCCATTAGGCAATTATTGCACTATTATTTGAAATCTTAATTTATGAATCAATTTAAAGTAAAAAAAAGTATTTTATTTTATATTATCAATTCTGAAATAATAAAAATCAATAAATACCATTTTGAATTATAATACAAAAACTATATTTAATATTATTATTATTAAATATTTAAAATAAAATGACTTGAATTTTACTAGATGTATATTATGGATAATTGTAACTGATAATACAATTTATATATTAGAAAAAAAAAATATTATTGTATTTTTTAACAAAATACAAACTTAAACTCAATTCAAACTGAATTAACTGTATACTTTATATAATTTGAATTTATTAAATAATTTTGAATAAAAAATATTTAATTAATACTAATTTTTTAAAAAAATCTTAACTGCTTTATTATTTAGCATAAAAGTTGTATAATGGATATGATTCAAATAATAGTAATAATTTATTTAACATAAATTTTCATATTATTTAAGATTTATATAATAGATTATTAGATTTCTATTAT